CTGGTATTCATCAATTCCTGGAGCCTTGTTATTCCCCAATGCCTTCAGCGCAGCTTGGCCTTCTTCCTTGAGTACCATCGGTTCTTGATCATATGCTACCTCCTAAAATGTTTGAATATCAACCAATTCTTTTTGGTACAGTGATTCTGTGTATTCCTTCCATCTTCTTTTGATGCTTCCTCTGTCATTCAATATTTTTTCCATAGAATCCTTCAATATTGCAACTCGAGGCTTGAATTTTTTCTTCAGTTCTTTCAGCTTGAGAAATGCTGAGCATGTTCTTCCTGTTTGGTTTTCTAACTCCAGGTCTTTGCACAGTCCATTAATAATACTTTGTCTCCTTGAGCTGCCCTTTGAAATCTTCTGCTCGGTTCCTTTACTTCATCATTTCTTCCTTTCACTTTAGCTACTCAATGTTCAAGAGTAAGTTTCAGAGTCTCTTCTGACATCCATTTTGGTCTTTTCATTCTTTCGTGTCTTTTGAATGACTCTTGCTTTCTTCATGTGTGATGTCCTTGATGTCTTTCCACAACTTGTCTGGTCTTCAGTCATTTGACACTAATGTGTCAAATCTATTCTTAAGATCATCACTAAATTCAGGTGGAATATACTCAAGGTCATGGCTCATGTGGATTTGCTCTAATTTTCTTCAGCTTCAACTTGAACTTGCATATGAGCAACTGATGGTCTGTTTTGCAGTCAGCCCCTGGCCTTGTTTTGACTGATGATATTGAGCTTCTCCAAGGTCTCTTTCCACAGATGTAGTCGATTTGATTCCTGTGTATTTCACCGGATGAGGTCCGCTTGTATAGTCGCCATGTATGTTGTTGGAAAAAGGTATTTGCAATGAAGAAGTCGTTGGTCTTGCAAAATTCTATCACGTGATCTCTGGCATTGTTTCTATCACCAACACCATATTTTCCAACTACCAATCCTTCTTCTTCATTTCCAACTTTCCAATTCCAATCAGCAGTAATTATCAATGCATCTTGATTGCATGTTTGCTCCATTTCAGACTGCAGAAGCTGCTAAAATCTTCAGTTTCCTCATCTTTGGCATTAACAATTGGTGCATAAATGTGAATAATAGTTGTATTAACTGGTCTTCCTTGTAGGTATGCTTCAGGATAGATCTTGAAATGTTCTTTTTGGCAATGAATGTGACGTCATTCCTCTTCAATTTGTCATTCCCAGCATAGTAGACCATATGGATGTCTGATTCAAAATGGCCAATACCAGTCCATTTCAGCTCACTAATGCCTAGGATATTGATGTTTATGCATTCCATTTCATTTTTGATCACTTCCAATTTTTGTAGATTCATACCTCATACATTCCATGTTCTGATTATTAATAGATGTTTGCAGCTACTCCTTCTCATTTTGAGTCGTACCACCTCATCAAATGAAGGTCCTAAAAAAAAGCTTGACTCCATCCACGTCATTAAGATTGACTCTACTTTGGGGAGGCAGCTCTTCCCTAATCATATTTTGAGTGCCTTCCAACCTAAGGGGCTCATCTTCTGGCACTATATCAGACAATGTTCCACTGCTATTCATAACACTTTTACTGGCCAGTTTTTTCAGAAGTAGGCCACCAGGTCCTTCTTGCTAGTCTGTCTTAGTCTGGAAGCTCCACTGAAACCTGTCCAGCATGGGTGACCCTACTGGTGGCATAGCTTCCAGCATCAAGGGAACACGCAAGCCACCACAGTGCAACAAACTGACACATGGTGCATTTATGTATACCTTCAACCAATGCCCCCCATTCCATATCATTCATCATGGTCCTTGGTCCTTTGGTAATTTTATATCTCAACACAGTCGAATGCTAAAAAACAAAATAAAATGAAAAAAGTACTGAAGAAATATTAAGCATGGCAGTCTAGACTAGAACCTAGACTCTCAATGCTCAGTATCTTGTCTCTTTATACTATAGTGGCATAGCAGAATATAACAACATTTAGTTTTAAGGCAATAGATTAATTTGTTGTACATTTAAGGTCTTTACAGCTGGGAACCCTTAACAGCTCCCCTCCTCTCCTATGCCTCAGAGAATCTTGACCAGCCAGACTACCAAACCTCTAGGTAGCTCACTACCGCACACTAGCCATTAGCCATCCTCAATTGATTCCATTTTTATTTCCCTGACTCCTGTCCCTTGTACTTGTCATCCTTGAATCTCCACTGGCTCTGAAACAGTCCTCTTGGCTCCATGATGAGCAGGTGAAGGCCAGTTCTGCTCAGACCACACCCCCAAGCCCTCGTAGTCAGAGACTGCCCTCCTGCCACCAACCAAGAAGGGAAGTTTGTACGTGGAGCCCTTTTATGAGCCACAAAAATAAATTTAGGCTCATTAATTTGCAGTTGGGAAAGACTTTAACAAATCAAGGAGCGTTTTGCTTAAGTGCCCCCATCTTTTATTTGTATCCTGAATGGAGAAACTGAAATGGTCAAATCAGTGGAATATGTTGCCTCCTTTTGAACACAAATAATTTATTTTAAGACTTTTCATGCCTTCAGGGTTCTCTTTTCTGGGTCACAAATGATAAAGTGCACAAAATTTTATTCATTTCTATCATGGTCCTGGGGATGTTAAAAAATCACATTCTGCTTTTAATAGCTTCTCTATCAATACAGATAGTAATCTCTTACTCAGCCTCCCATCTCTTAACTGCTGTTCCTGCCTGTCTATCTTAACTGTGGAAACAATTCACTTGTGTTAGTTCTCATTTATTAAGTGCCGACTCCAGCTAAGTGCTTTACAAAATATATACAGCATTAGCACTTTGTGGGATTCACTGTGGTTTTGTATATTGATGGCAATAATAACATCTTACATTTATGCAGTTCTTTTTATTTTTCAGATGACTTTTGCATTTATTATCTCATTTGATCCAAAAACTACCTCGTGAGAGAAGTAGAATAAGTATTATTCTGCCTATTTTATAGATAGAAAGTTGGGGGTCAGAGACGTTTAGTGACTTGCTCTGGGTTAGACAACAAGTCTTCGCAGTGGGATGTTTGAAACTGGGGGTTCCCAAACTCATTGTGTCCATAAAATACCGATTTTGCCACTGAAATACAGAAAAGTACAAAAAAAACCTATCTGACGACTACTGGCACTATAAATATTATCACTTTTTCGTGTGTTTCACTTTTTTAAAATAAACACTTACAGATAAAATTGGAGTTTCTTAAAATCTTCAGTCTTGTTTTCCTTCCTTTGTCCCCAAGGAACAACATTATCATAGATTTTCTGTGTATCCATTAGAAAATTTAAACTGGAGGTTGACTTACATAAATGTTGTATTCATTCATAGAATCATGAATGAATAATGTTATATTTATTCTTTCAGAGAACACTTATTGAGCCAGGCTGTATTTGAAGTGCAAAAGATTTGGCAGTGAACAAAAGAGACAAAAATTCCTGCTCTCATGGAGTTTGCATTCTACTAGGAAGACAAAGACAATAAATAAAAAGTTATATAGCATTGGATGGTAAGTGCTATGGGAAAAAACAGAGCAGGTGGATTGAAATGCCAGAGAGTGTACAGGGAGTGGGAATGGAAGAGATCAGTTTAAATGGGGTACTCAGGGTGGGCCCAATTATAAAGGTGACATTTGAGAAAGGTAACATTTGAAGGAAGTAAGAGAAACAGAGATGTGATTATCTGGAAGGAACATATTCTTTTAATTATGTTTTAATAAATATTATGTTTTCAAAATGTATTTATGTTGATGCATATAGATTTACTATATTCATTTTTTTGTTTTTAATAGTATTTTATTGTGTTTTCGGTGAAGGTTTACACAATAGTTTAGGTTCCCATTCAACAATTTCAATACAAGTTGCTGGTGACATTTGGTTACATTCTTCACAACGCGTGAACATTCTCATTATTTGTTTTTTGTATATACGTGTATGCCTACATACCTACATACCCGCACATATATTTTTTGGTTGTTTTTGCTATTGTTTCAAAATTATATATGCCATAGCAATTACCCACAGGTCCTTTTTTCTTGTGTACTTTTTAATGACATCATTTACCTTTGTCAAGCTGTATACACTTCACCCTCATTCAGTGTTAAACCTTTCTCATCATTAAAAATAACAAGTGACTACTATCTAGAGAAAGAATCCCCTTCTCCCCACCCTCATCCCTGGTAACCACTAATGAACATTAGTTTCTGTATATTTACTTGTTCATGACATTTCATAAAAATAAGAACATATAATATTTGTTTTTTGTGTGATTTACTTATTTCACTCAGCATAATGTCCTCCAGGTTCATCAATGTTCCAAGACGTTTTGGGAACTCATTTTTCTTTATCGTTGAGTAGTATTTCAATGTATGTATTTTATCACATTTTACTTACTCATTCATCCGTTGATGGGCACTTAGTTTATTTCCATTTTTTTGCTATTGTGACTAGTGCTGCAATGAACATAGGTGTGTGTATGTCTGTTCATGTCACTTCTATTAGATCCCTACTGTATGTACTAAGAGTGGAATTGCTGGGCTGTATGGCAGTTCTACCTCTAGTGTTTCTGAGGAACTGCCAGACTGTTTTCCACAACAGCTGTATCATTTCACATTCCCATCAGCAATGGATGAGGGTTCTAATTTCTCCACATCCCTTCTAACGCTTGTTATTTTTTTATCTTGGCCATCCTACTCTTTGCAACTCATAGCGAACTCTATAGGACAGAGTAGAACTGCCCCATAGGTTTTCCTAGCGGGAGCGAACTGGTAGCTCATTGTGGTTTTGATTTGCATTTCTTTGATGACTAATGATGTTGAGCATCTTTTCATGTGTCTATTGGTCATCTGAATATCCTCTTTGGGGAAGTGTCCATTCATGTCCTTTCTCAAGTTTTTGATTGAGTTATTATATTCCTTTTAATTGCTATAGATTATTCCACAATAATTTATTCATTTTCTGATGTCCATCTGCATTGTTTCTAATTTTTTTACAATTATAAATGTACAAAAAAAGAAAAAGAAACACTTCATGAATGTTCGTGTTCTCCTTGTGCAGGGACCAGGCTAATTTCTCTTTAATGGTCCAATTTTAGTGCAGAAGATGTCAACACAGGCACTCTTTGAGTTCTTCACATCAGGTAGCTATGATTACCCTCCCTAAAAAGTTGCCTGATAAAATACAGGGCACCCAGTTAAATCTGAATTTCAGATAAACAACAAATAATTTCTTAGTATAAGTATATTCAGCATGAAATAATTATTTGAAATTTAACTCAGTGTCAAATATCCCCTCGGGAGCAAAATCACCCTCATTAATTGACACCGGACTACAGCACAGAATAAACTTAAATTAGAAAGAATTCTAACAAGAGGTTAAGAAAAAAAACTATGAAAAATAAATCAGCTAGCCTCTCTGTTTCTATGAACTTCTCAGTTCATCAGGATTTTTCTATATAATCTCATATGTTCAGGTAAAGTCTGTTCAAACCAATAATCAGAGAGAAAAACAAAAACAAGGCAAATAGGATGACAAAAAAATACCAGCTATGAAGCAGTGAACTAATATTCCACAGGAAGTTACAGACAATTTCCCCCAAGAAATTAAATTCATTTACAAAAGTACTATGAAGACTTTAACACAAATCACTCTTCTTACTTGGGACTATTTATCATCTTGCAGAGCTTATAAATTATACACACCAAGCAGCAATTTTATATACAAGCAACCATAATAATCGACACAAAACAGAGCAGTTGAAGGGTACACTCTTCTAATGAAGAGAGAAAGAGATGGAGGGGAGAGAGGGCAAGAAAGGAACTAACAACGCTTTCCTTTAGAGCTGTCCTCCCAGGGACATAGCTTTTCTCTTCTGTCTGCACTGTCTTAATAGATTTCATCTTCCTTTAAAAGACAAGTCACAATCTGTCCCTGAAGACAGCTGTTACCATTAAAATTCTCCACTGGGGGCAGGGGGCCACATTACTCAGTGTGTGACAGAACATGCAAGAAGATACGTGACATTTTTCCTTCAAGGCTAGCATTGTGGAGAACGGATGGGCAAAGACAGGACTTCCAGAGGTCAACACTTGCATCCTTTTGCCTCTGGTTGAGGCTGCATCTCAGCCATTCAAGAAGGAAAATTGTCTTTTCCTTCCATTTGCATTTCCAGAACAGAGTAATTGTTTCATTTACCATTAACTAAAAGCATAAGGAACGCTGCTAGAGCAGTAACATTCCTATCACAGTTACAGCCTCCACTCACTTGAGTTATCCTAGTCTGAACATCACTTATAAAAATGATCAAGAACCAGGTGCCAGATATCCATTTGTGCAGTACACACAGAATACATCACTCCTGCTCTCATATGTTGGAGGTAGAAAGAAATTAGACCAAAGACAGACACAGTGGTCAACCTTCATTGGGGTGTTTTTCATCTCCCTGTTATTTTGAGTGTGGAGCCCTGGCACAGTAGTTAAGAGTTCGGCTGCTAACCAAAAGGCTGGCAGTTCGAATCCACCAGCCGCTCCTTGGAAACCCTAAGGGGCAGTTCTACTCTGTCCGCTAGGGTCGCTATGAGTTGAAATCTACAGAAATCAATAGACAGAAAATAAAACAATTGCAGTATTTCGGACTGGGAGGTACTTTGAAAAAAAATTCTATACCTAAACTCCTAATGTTACAAAAAAGGGAAACTGAGAACCAGAGAGGTAAAATGATACTGTCCAAGGTCATTCGGCTTGTCAGTGACCCAAGAGAGCCAGAATCCCTGTCTCCTCATTAGGTCATGTTCTCTCCATGACAACAACGCTACCTCTCAGAAGCAGGGACAGAAAACTCAGCTCAGATTGGCAAAAACACGTAAGCCAAAATGAAAAGTGTGTGTTCCTGTAACCAAACAAATCAGAGACAGTGAGGATTTGTTTTTTGAGGCTGCCCAGTATCCATTCCCGTTTCCTAGTAGGACTGTGATTTCCTTTTGAGACACTACCTTGTCCCTCATTCTCAGCATGTGGTTTGGGTGGGATTGGCCTCTTCCCCAGCTCAATGCATCCTCATTTAAGATTCAAAAGGTGCTACAATTCAGATAACTGAATTTATCAGATCGCTTTCTCTCAGTGAAGAGGAATATAAGTGACGAGAAGGAAGGCAAATAGAAAGCACAAGTAGGAATCCCAAACATACACCTTTCTTATGCTTGAAGCTGACTCAAAGCAGTTTCTATTCTTATCTCTCTACTACCCCAACCTCCTTTAGCCTTGGGAAAGCACAAGACTGAAGAGGCCCAAGATTTCCCACCAGAGGTCACAGGGCAAACACTGCAAAATATAACTCCAATATCCAAACCCAGAGTTCTTCTGATTCAACCAGGAAATTAATAAAAAGAGATCTCAGAGAGCTCTAAGGGATCTAATGGACAATACACCCACTCCTTACTTATCAACATGGTTAGGTTCCAAACACCAGGTCATTATACAAAAATCAGTGTTATGTGAAAATGGAGAATGACCACATCAGATCACAAAACGGAAGATGACTATATCATTACATAATTGCCAAATTACATCATTACATAACTGCCAAACCACTGAAAATCAGGGCCCAGCCAAGTTGACACATAACCTTAACCATCACAGCCAGCATTACTCTCGCCTCTTCAGCGTTCAGTATGTCATTAATGTGCAAAATAGATAGTAGATTTTTTACTTTTGTTGTAAAGGCAAATTGTCAGATAATGAGATAGTTGATAAGTGAGAAATAGGTGTAAAGTGTTATGTTTGCATCCCAACTCACCCCGGGTAAACTCTCTAAGCTTTAAGGACACCCATGTGTGCTGAATTACCAAGTGTATTACCAGTTAGGAGTTTATGCTGCTGTGGTTTACCAGAAGGAGGAATAGCTCTCCTTTTATATCTTTATTTGTAAAATATTACCTAAATAATAATAATGATTACATTTTATATTTTTTAATCATAAAGATCACATTTGACGAGCACTTTTATACTTTTCAAAACTCAGCATATATTGCCTCATTTGATCTTCACAAAATTAGTATGAGCTAGGAAAGGCATTATTTATCTCAGTTTTACAGATAAGAAAAACTAAGTCATAGATTCAAGGGGATTATCAAGAATTTCACAGGGACAGCATGATAGAGCTAGAACTCATGGCACAGAATTAAGACATATTTATAAGGTGTAATGAGTAGGGGCTTTTTATTTTTCTTATAATGGTCCCAAATATTCAATTCTCTGTCTTCAAAGCTTTGAAGGGTTATCTAATCTCCATAAATTAAGACATTAGATAGATTCTAAGGCAGACTACAAAGGAAAGGCTTTTGAAGTGACAAGACAGTATGAGAACTCCTGACAGGTTCATTCAGATTTCATGAGATTCTGACCTGGGACTCTTAACTACTGATAGAGAGCTCACTGTAGGAGAGTGTGTGTGTGCATACATGTGTGCACATGCATGTATCACTGTGAAATAGCAGCAGAGTACCCTCTTCCTATGCTATGAAAATGAAAGTCAGAAAATCACACCTAGCTTTTACTTGGCACTATTGACTTTGGACTGAGATTAATCATTTATATATCCACTTAGGTCACCTGAGGTTCAAAATGACTCCTTACCTAGGAGACTCACACCCTGATTCTTTCTCCTTCGTCTCCTTTAAAAAAAAAAAAAAAAAAGCATTTTTGACCATTATAATGATCTTGCATCCACAAATCTAGAGGCACATTTTAAATGTCCAAGCTCTAGGAAGCCAATCAGAGGTGTTTAACTCTGTCATCTAGATATTCATCTGTATATAATTTTTTCTGTTTGTTCGTACTTATCATTAAAGATGAGGAAATCTGGCCACTCCATTTAAGTTTCAGTAGATTTAGTGAGAGGTTTTAAAAGTATTACTTCCCTTTTTATGCTGGAAAAATAGAGAAAAGCCGCAAAAGAGGGCAGCAGTCAAGACTAAGGGCATGGAAATGGAAGAGCTGGTCAGGCATTGGTATGGCGGGAAGGAGAGATGGGAGAAGGAGAGAGGAGTTATGGAGGAGTCTAGACTCCTCCTCCCAAACCATCCTTCCTTCAAACAGAGAAGTTCCTCATCTATATGTTTTATATATTGGAATTTTGTTTAAGATTAAACTTGTTAAATTCTGGTACCACAGACACACCCAAAAAGGTTTTTAAACTTTGAGGGTCAGTGAGATAAAAAAACTTGTCCCATATCACCTAGTCAATGCAGAACAAGGATCCCAAATCACATCATCTGTGTCCCAGCACAAGCTCTCTGCACTAATCCACATCCTCCTTACTTACTACAGCTAATCTCATTTAATCCTCACAATAATCAGGCAAAGTAGGTATTATTAGTATTATTTTACGGATGTGAAAACTGAAGTCCAGAACTTCTGAATATCTTGGCTAAGGTTGGAATACGTACATCTCATGACTCCAAACTCCATATTATTTCCAATATATGCATCATGTCTCAACACAAAAGACAGTATTTTTTTAGATATGTAAATCATGCTTTCTCCCTTTCATATTTTAATTGAAGTTTTCTCCTTTAGACACCATTTTGTCTCTTCCGAAATGTTCTTTGTCTTTATTTCAAATCTGTTTCTTCTCTGTTAAACTGAATGTGTCTGAGATGTCCTTCCAAGATGACCTCTGCCTGGCACAGAAAGCCGTCCAACAGGCCATTTGTCACACCTCATCTCTTCCCTTTTATGAAAGGGACAAAAGGCTGTCTTTGAGCCCCCTTTGGAGGTGTTTTCATGCTAATCCAAGAATTACTGTTGTGTTTGTTTTCTGGTCTGTGCAGTGTGAAGCCATTCATGGGGCCTCATGGACCCTGTCTAGTCACATTCCAGTCCATTCTTGGAACATTTTGGGGTAATGCATCATCGCTCTTCTGGTGGGAGACAAATCTGTGTCCCTGCCTGAGGCTGGCAGCCAATGCATCTATGTCCTTGATTGCGCATGAAAGCATCTCCTGCCATTTCCGCCAGACAGCCCACTATACATACACTGGGAAGGGGGAAGAGGAGAATGAAATATTCATTCAGAAAAGACGAATATCAGGGAAAAAATGGCAACCTCCTCTCTGGAAAGG